AGCTGCGTTACCGTGGTAACACTATTTTCATAATGATGACCTGATTCACTAAGAGAAAGTTAAATGATATTTTTTTACTGTTTGTTTAAGGTAGTGGAGAAATTGTATGATAATAATAAGGTGCTTAGAAAGGGGCAAGTGTTGCTTATCTGGGAAAATCACTTGTGTAGATCTGTAGGTTGTAGTGCAATGCTCTCCATTGGTGAGAAGAGATGCAGCAAACCTCCCCCAACCAATTAGCTAGTATGTTTATGTATGTATTTTTGCCAGGATACTTTGCATTTCTGTTGTTCCACTTTTAAAGAGCTGCAGTCACCTTAAGAAAATAATCTTACGTAGATGGTTTCAGTGATCCTCCAAGAAGCCTATGACATAATTCAATAAGAAATTTAAGGAAAGAGGGCACCTGGGCGGCTCAGTCTGTTAAGCATCTGCCTTCAGCTCAAGTCATGATCCCAGGGTCCTGGAATCGAGCCCCACATCAGGCTCCTCGCTCAGCCAGGAGCCTGCTTCTCCCTCTGCCCCTCACCTCGCTTTGGTGCTCTCTCTCTCTCTCAAATAAATAAAATCTTAAAAAAAAAGAAATTTAAGGAAAGAAAAGAGATGAAAACAAAACACATGAAAAATAGACATCCCCCATCAAGCCCAGATCTCCTATAATGGTTGCTTTAAGGTATGGTGGGAATTACTTCTGATTTGGCTATTTCGTCCTCTCACCTGTTAAAGTATTAAGTCTCTAGGAGAAATCTTTTAAATTAAAATGTTGTAAAACAGACTGGTTCTTGAATACCGTGCAAATAGTTTCATAAGAAAGAAAATTACAATATTGTTTATAAACCATTTACAGTGCTGAGTTGTTATTTTTCATTGTTTAAGTTGCATTAGATTTCACAAAAGCTGTTTGTGAACAAAATTGCAATAGGAAGGCCTGTCCATTGTATTTTTCAGAAGAAAGCTGGTTTTCACAATATTATTCACATTTTGTAAACAGCATCAATGAACCTGCACATAAAAGGTTAAATGTTTGCAGACCATTCTTTTTTGCCTCAAAGATCAGAGACAAATTACTATTTTTATTTTACATTCCCTTGATGAGGATAATGATAAACAGCTGTCACTTCAGTGCTTAGACTGCAAAGAATTCTATTGCAATCCTATAATTTAAACAAAGAAAAAATACATAGTCATACACAGTATACATACAGAAAAAAACACGACAGAGAATTTGGTTAGAACTGGGTCAGAGAAAAGGGAACATTTGCTCTCTGAAATTACTCAGTTTAAAGAAAAAATCCATCTATGCGTATTTCCCCCATTTATCTTAGCTATATTAGAAAAGGCAAGTATTTCTGCTATCTTTCTAAAATCAGAAAAGAAATTAAATTTGCATTCTGAATTCTGTGACTCCCCGTCACGTCCATGGTATTATCTGAGTAGTTAAAGTTTGCATGTGACCACATATTATTTCCAAAAGCTAAAGAGAACTTCAAATTGTTTTATGGGTTACTCTGGAATACTTCTTGTGTGTGTGTGTGTGTGTGTGTGTTGAGAATTAATCCATTCGGTGTTCTCCATTCACTCTGACACTTTCCTTATTATTTGCATCTGGTTTTTAAAAGTGAAAGTGAATGTCTTTTGCATGTTTTGATAAGCAAAAAGTAAAGTAAGGCTAAATGTTAAAAGTAGTGTGAAATGGGAAAATTAAGTGTTTCTATGTAAACATGCAGATGATGGTATAATTTCTTGGTGTTTTATATTTCTGGAGGTTCTTTTAAAAATACTGTTTACTCTGCTTTTCTCTTTTGTTTCAATCTTTTTTTTTTTTTTTACAAATAGCAATATTTCAATGACATCTTTTCCTGGAAACTCTTTCTACATTTATTTTATCTATGAAACTGACTTGATGTTTTATGAATGTTTCACTGTTTCATAATACTTGATTTTTTTATACTTATGGAAGAAAAAGAAATTTGTTAAAATTGTATGCATCTTACACTTACTGAACAAATTTCAACATGCTCTTCTGTGGGTTGACAATAACAAGGTTGTGGTGTGGATCTTCTACGCAAAGTGCTTAGCAGAGTACCTAGAACACAGCAAGTGCTCAATAAGTGTTCCTGGGACAGGTGGAATATTGATACTGAAATGTTATCGCCCCCGACTGTTAAATACCATAACAAAACCGCAGTATATTTCAGATCAGAGAGACAAACTGAACTGTATTTTATCCATTATGGAGGTTTATGTCGCTTTGTATAAAAGCTGTTTTCCTCCCAAAGCTGTCGGTCATCTGTTCTCATTTGTGTACAATATTTCATAATCATTTTATCATTCTCACTGTTATCAAGTAGTCATGGGTCCTAACTCACCGCCCTGGGGTTTCTCTGGTCTCCAGTGTCTCTGACATGTAGGCAGGCACACTTGGAACCCCTGAATGCACCAGAGCAGCTTCCTTGATTTACGTAAACCCCTTGTGGAGTTGTTAACTCCTTCTCCCGTGCATCAAGCTCTGTGCCGGGTGCTGAGAAGGGAGAGAGAAACAAGACACCAGAATCTAATAGGAGAGGAGCGTAAACTGAGGCTGGATATTTAAAAAAAGTGAACACAAGACACAGAGGAGGTACAAAGGGGGGGAGCGATGGGGTCGGGGGGCCATCAGGAGCTTGTCCAGAAGGTTCTGAAAGATGAAAGATCTTCACGGGTGGGAGGAGGAGGGTCCAGGCAGACTTCATAGGCCTACAAATATGCCTTTCACACATGCGTATTGATTCAAAGGAAAACGTGGAGGTGTTAAAAAAAAAAATACACTTGGGGCGCCTGGGTTGCTCAGTTGGTTAAGCGACTGCCTTCAGCTCAGGTCATGATCCTGGAGTCCCAGGATCAAGTCCCGCATCGGGCTCCCTGCTCGGCAGGGAGTCTGCTTCTCCCTCTGACCCTCCCCCCTCTCATGTGCTCTCTCTCTCTCTCTCATTCTCTCTCTCAAATAAATAAAATCTTTAAAAAAAAATACACTTGCCATTTTTATATTGCTTGAATTGAAAATGTTTTATGCACAAAGTTTTCACTTTAAATTTTCATAGTGTATGTTGAGAGTCAAGCAGCTCTCTCTTATTCCATGAATATTCAGAAAGGAAAGAAAGCAGCTAACATTTATTGAGGCCCTTGGCTAGGTCATCTCCTATGTGTTATCTCCTTTAGCTTCCACAGGCTCACCAGGGACGTGTATCCCCGTTTTAAAGATAGGGAAGCTGAGTTTAAATTACATCAAGTAACAAGTGTGGCCACACAACCAGTACACAATAGAGCCTGAATTTGAACCTGAAGTTTTCACTTTCAAATACATAATCCTTAAAACGACATTGCAGTTACTGCTGACTTACAACTTGGGCTCCGCATGGAACACATTTGAAGTGGTTTTTATACCCTAGGAAGGAGTTTGGAAACATGATTGTTTTTTCACTGCTGTGGCTTACCTTCCCTCTACCTACCACTTTATGGCTTCAGCTTTATACCCATTTGTCCTAGATCCTATTGTGCTTGTATATCACCAATTAAGAATAAAAGTAGTTCTTTACTACGGAAGACTTGATTTAGTTCTTTCTCTCAGTGACCAAAGACCATTTCAAACAACTGCCCTTTTTGAAACTTCCTCTACCTTGCTGGAGTAGCTGTAAGATGCCTCAGAAATGTCCTCAAACTATCGCCCTGAAGCATGGGGCCATACTCTCATGGTCTCACAACAATGACTGTTGTGTTTTAGAGTGAGCACATTATTTTAATATTTTTAAAAAGTATTGGATATTTCTGAGCAAGAGAAGCCTATATAAATGACTAGGACCTATTTCTCTCTTTGTTATTATTGACTTTGTAGGCCTACAAATATGCCTTTCACACATGCATATTGATTCAAAGGAAAAGTTTGTCATTTATAGATCCATTTAAGCACAGGGCTTTGCCTAAAACTGATAGGATGATTGAAAACCTGGCAGATCAAAGTATGTACATTTCCAAGGAAAAGTACTTCATGTCTACAATGGAAGCAATAAATTATCCCCCCCCCTTTTTTTGCATTTGTAATTAAATCTTTCCAAATGTTAGAAAGTAGCCAGACCACTAACAGTATTTGTATCATGTTCTGGGGCTTAGATGGTTCAACCTGACTTGAAATGGAGACCATTTGTTCTAAATTGATTTCAATGCCAAGCCAATAGGTCAGCCCTTAATGATGAAGATGCCATTCCAGCCCAGCCTCTGGTGGATAAGCCAAAATTAATTAACTCAAGTCCCATAGTATAGAAAACAGATGCTTCTCTCATGTTGCACAAATAAATTCTTTGTGTATAGATGTGTTCTGTTTTATTCAAAGAATAACAAGTTGGAAGTTAAAATTGTAAGTTTTCCACAATGGAGCCAGCCTTTAGTAGTGATGACAGAAGCATGAATTTACAGAACAAATTCCAGCAAGTGCATGGAAAGATGAATTATTCTCTATATCTCTTATTTTGGCTCCAGGCCAGGCCTAGGAGATTTAGTTTTAAAACCTGGGCTGATCCAAATGCTGATCCATTCCAGAACAGACCTAGGAGTTCCAGAACAACACCAAGGTTATTTCTAATCTATAGAATCCCTGGAGACCCATCCCAGAGGTTTACATCTACATCATTTGCTTGGATTCAGTTCTTTGGCCAGCTTGTAAATGGCTGAAGATTAGATTGTTCTCTAGAGGTATGTTGTTAGGTGCACTCTTTATCTGGTTATTCATCCCAGCATTCGCTCAGAAAGTTGCTTCCCCTAGGTTGTGGGTTGCTAAAAGTAGAGGAATAACTGCCTGGTTCTGATCCCTTTTCAGAATTAATGGGTATGTTTAAAATAAAGATGTTAACCATCTAGTGATAGAACTCCAAAGAGAGTGAGCAGAAGTTGATCATCTGATAATGTATGGTATTTTTTTTCTTCTGAACGAATGTGAAATAATTCATGTTTTCTTTCCTTTCTGTTAGACTGAAAATGATGAGAATGGCCAAGCAGAAAACTTTTCCATGGACCCACAATTGGAGAGGCAAGTGGAGACCATCCGCAACCTCGTAGACTCCTACATGTCTATCATCAACAAATGTATCCGAGATCTAATTCCAAAAACAATAATGCACCTTATGATCAATAATGTAAGTGATTATAAACTGTCTCATTTTAACTTCTAACCCATCTTAGTGTGGAAACTGCTCATATTCTCACCAGCTTCTTTGTGATATTTTCTGGATGGTTGAATACCTATTACCCAGATTCCTTATTTTCTATTACAAGTGACAAGTGACTGACCAGTGAAAGAGAATTTAGGGAAGCCAACATGAAACTTACAGCCACAGTACTGTGGAATTCCCTATCGCCTATCTGCTCCTGAAGAGTGTGCATTTGCTCACAAGAAAGCAGAGCAAAAGTACTGCAGCTGTGCTCAGGGTGTGAGTTAATTGCAAAGCCAGCAATAAAACCAGATGCCCCAGCTCCTAGCCTTTGAGATTAAAAGCAAAAAATATTTATTCTTGTCTACACACAAACACATAACATACGTTGATATGATTATTTTCACTTTCTAAAAACTACGGAATGCTATTTTCACCCGGGAAGTGGCTTTTTGCCCTATCCCCTTGGATTCAGAGTCAGTCAACTTCTCTTTTCTGGTAATGGTGATATTGCCACAGATCTTAAAGTGCCTGCTAGACGAACCCTCAGTTGATCTGGAGTGTACAGAATCCCTCCCTTTTCGTGGTTACTTTACAGTAGTCAGGATATGATACTTAAATTACATGATCTAGTTTGGTTCTTTTGGCAGCTACTTTATTAAAGTACAAATAATATTACAAGTTATTGGAGAAACTATCTTTTAGATAAGATAGGCTATCATGCAGTGTTTTATAACAGGCTTTTCTGATTCTTGAAAAGGAGACACCAGTATTTTTAGTTCTAGCTGTCTTCTCGGGATACCTTTTATTTAAATCGATGATATATTATGAGCATTTGCTTGTAACACATATAAATTAGCTGGCAAAGTTACTGAACACACTCGAATTCAGGAGAAACCTATATTCTGAGCCTGGTTCTGCTACAGATTCTGTTGACCTCAAGACAAATCAGTTAACTTCTTTGCATCCGTTTCCTCCATATGTAAAATATGAATCGTAGAAAAGGTACCTGGCTTAGGGATTTATTTCAGAAGATAGTATATATGGAAGTACTATAAAAAATGTAAGAAGCCAATGTGGCTGCCTGCCTATTTCAGAACTATAAAGAGCCTTTGTCCATATTTCAAGATTTCTTTCAAAATTGTATTTGTAAATATGACATTCTATTTGTGGTTCATGGTGTGTTCGTTCCTTGAAGAAAAGTTTCCTGGAAGAAACCCCTTGAAGGAAACCCTTCTTCTTTTTTTTTTTTTAATCTTATGTTAATCCCCATACATTACATCATTAGTTTTAGATGAAGTGTTCCATGATTCATTGTTTGTGCATAACACCCAGTGCTCCATGCAGAATGTGCCCTCCTCAATACCCACCACCAGGCTAACCCATCCTCCAACCCCCCTCCCCTCTAGAACCCTGTTTGTTTTTCAGAGTCCATCGTCTCTCATGGTTCATCTACCCCTCCGATTTCCCCCGCTTCATTCTTCCCCTCCCGCTATCTTCTTCTTCTTCTTTTTTTTTCTTAACATATATTGCATTATTTGTTTCAGAGGTACAGATCTGAGATTCAACAGTCTTGCACAATTCACAGCGCTTACCAGAGCACATACCCTCCCCAGTGTCTATCACCCAGTCACCCCATCCCTCCCACCCCACCCCCCACTCCAGCAACCCTCAGTTTGTTTCCTACAATTAAGAATTGAAGGAAACCCTTCTTGAAGAAGCTCTAAGCACCCATGGTTTTTAACCCTATTCCCATGCAAGATTTTGCATAATTAAACAAGGTTGCTAGGATGCTTTGAAGTATCAGCAGTAGGTGAGCAATATATTGGAAATTTGGAAACCAGGAATTGTATTCTTAAGCTCAGTCAATGGCCTGCTGTGTGACCTGGAGCAAATTATTTGGCCCCTCTGAGTTGAAGTCAGTCACTTCTAAAATTACGATAAGAACACTGAGCTGCCTCACTGAATTGTCAGAGAACGTAATAAATGCGACTGTATGCCATTTTGAAAAATACAGAGTACTAAACAAATAGTCTGTGTATTTTTAAAATTACCCTCTTAATTTTACTTAAATGAGTTCAGGTTGTTTTGCTGTGGTATATCCAGGCACTTGCTTATTTAAACATTTTCCTGATTAAGTATCATTTATCTTTTCACTGTTTTATCGCAAGTCATTAGTGCGGCCATCAGTTCAAACCCTGCTTTGCTCTGCACTATATTAAATCATCGGCACAGGAAATAGCACTTACTGTCTATAGCACGAGGAGTTGCCTGACACTAATTAGTTAAAACGAAAAAGAAAAAAAGACCCTCTTACAAATCTATCCTACTTTCACCTTCTCAAGAAACACACACATACACATACACAAAGAAACACAGGGGTAATTGCCCTCACCCCTCACTGGTGTGCTTGTTGGCTTTAATGAAATGGCTGAACCCCTGCCCCCCCAGGGAATTCTCCGTGGAGGTAGAGCTCTGCAAGCTGCCTTGAGAGAGACCTTGCACAAGAATAATGAGAAAGAGGACCTTGACGCTGAGACTCACAGGAATGTGGAGAAAACAGAACCATCACGTAATGCTGGATTCTTACGAAATGATGGTTATCGTTGTTGGAAATTTAACTTTTTGTATCTGTCAGAAAACAGTTTTATGTATCTCGGATGACCACTTTTCCTGGAGTATTATTTTGTTTGCTTTTTTCCTAGATACGTCAAAATACAGAGTTATATATATTTGATAATTACATAGATGTAAAAATATAAATTGCTCTTTTAAATGCCATATTCTCAGGGCATCTTATTGGACAGAACATCTGAATCCTTTGTGTTCACTCCGGAAGGGCCCTGTTGAGTACAAGGACCAGAAACGCACTGGACACCAAGCACCGTGTCACGCCTATGTGCTGGTTGTTTATTCGATGTTAAGAGATCTTCAAGGTAGAGAATCCATCATAGAATCACAGCTAGAAAACAAATACTCTGCCTCCTCATGCTAAAGTCCATCCACTTAACCCTGCTGCTTCTATAAATGGCGCTGGGTGGACGCTGGTTCTCCCGCACCAGTGAATGCCTGCAACGGGGTCCTCTGTCAGTGGACAGTCACCGTGGAAAGCGGTGCCGTGGCCTTTCCTCTTTGCAATGGGAATGGCTACGCTGCCTTCTGAAAAAGAGTATATTTCAGCCAACTTTTATAAAGTTCAGAATTTGGTGGGCAGTTTCCTTTGAAAGTTTACATTAAGTGTTCTGCCACTCAGGTCTCCATATGGAATTATTTAAGAAGTTTAAAGCCAGCAATAAATGCCTTGCCTCAGACATACTGTAAGCCTTTGTTGAAGCAGAACAGCTGTTGCAGTGCTTAAGCGCACTGGGGAACAGCGGCACAAAGAAATAGCAAGTTTATGACAGCCGGCCGTTCGGGACCGGCTGCAGCCGAAGCAGGGGAGTTTTGGTCAGGACTTTAATGTTCGCACACACCTAGCCCCCCCAGGGCAAGCACAGTTTGATGGCCTCTGCTCTGCAGCCCACCCCACCAGAAGATTCTCCGTCCGAGAATCGAGCTTTATTGTGAGAGTCTGCATGGCAGGGCGGTACACAGTTCAGTGTTGGCACCCACGGGACAGCCATCCACCGGGCACTCAGTATTTCGCCCCGATTATAAATGGAGAAACTGAGGTGCCGAGAGGTTAAGGGACTCGCCCAGGGTCACATAGCAGGGCTGGCAGAGTCAAGATTAAAACCCAGATCTCATCCTTAGTTAACGCATATAGCAAGGATGGGCGAACTATGGAGCTCAGCCTTCTCCACCTAGGGGGCTGCTCTGCCCATAGCACGTATCTGGTGTATCTTCCCAGAAGGCTCATTTCCTGGAAGATTTCAGGGTTTGTTTGAATATGAGAAACAACATTTTATTTTATTTTTTAATTTTTTTTAAGATTTCATTTATTCATTTGAGACACAGAGATAGAGAGAGAGAGAGACAGCATGAGCAGGGAGAGAGGCAGAGGGAGAGGGAGAAGCAGGCTCCCCGCTGAGCCGGGAGCCTGATGTGGGGCTCGATCCCAGGACCCTGGGACCACGACCTGAGCCGAAGGCAGACGCCTAACTATCTGAACCACCCAGGCGCCCCGAGAAACAACATTTTAAATCTTAACTAGTAATTCAAACCCAGATAATACAAAATAGAACGTAAAGTTTTTATGAAACTTTTTAAGAATCAGATATGAAGCCCAGGGGCATTTCACACTTGGAGTGCGTGCTGCCGCCTGGACCCCTGGACCCCTGGAGCTCCACATTTACTCTCCTTGGCCAGTGGCACTTCGCTGGAAAATTAGTAACATGTGCCCTCGTTTCAAAACTCACTGTAACTTTCATGTGCATGAAGTCGAGTATTATTTCAAATGTTCATTATTTGAGGGGAAAGTACACCTTAAATACCAGGGCACTGATTTGTTTCCATGGGTCAAAAATTCAGCATCCTGCTCAAGAAACAGATCGGGACCAGGAGCCGGAAGACCCCCCCCCCCCGCCCCCACTCCTGCGTGCTCCCACCTCCCATCACTCCCCAGCAAGGGCACCGCTCCTGATTTCTTACAGCATAGCTTATCTTAGCTCTGACTGTTCTTGAACTTTGGAATCATATAGTGGGTGCTTTCTGGTGTCTAACTTCTTTGGCTTGACGTTAGGTTTGTGAGGCAAAGGATGCCACTTTTTCAAGAAACATCACTGGTCTTTAGCAGAAATCCGTCCCTGAGAAATGGAAAGGAAGCTAGAGCAGACATGAAAGAACTGTGAGATCTCAGAGAATCACAAGCTTTTAACCAAGCCCCTTTCCCAAACTAAGCAAATTTAAATGGCGCAATTACATTTTTTATATATTCACGTGAATGCAAGTGATCACTGTGTTGCAGACTCCCGTCTAGAAACAGATTTTAAGGAAATGGCCTCCTTAGTAACAGAATTGTGTGAAAATTCGAGGTATGTCCCTTCTATTTATGAAGGCTTTAAAATGGTCTTAATTATGAAGACAAAGAAGTCTTAAGATCCAAAACTACTGCAGGTTGATAGAGAAGGGTTAAAGTAAGAAAGAGAGGAAAACATGTGGAACGTTTTTAATGACCTCACATTCCTTTACACTGAGCGGGACGACATGGTACCGTCATGCCTGTTTATCTAGCCTGTAGAGTCTGAACTGGAATGAGGTTTTGTGTATGAGAATTTTTTTGTGAACCATACCAAGATGTATAGGTTATAAGGTGTTATAATTAAAAGCATAAATATTATTTCAAGTCTTGCATCCAAGTATAATTCGTTTATGTCATGTTCTGTGAGGTGTATTCTAAATGCCATCACCTCCAAGGGATCTTACTGGGCCTCGACTGTCATGCAGAATCCTTGAAATTTATGTATTTGCACCACGGACATACAGACTGCTCAGAAAGTCCCTGAAGTGTCTGGAAACTCCCTGACGTTCCCCTACCTTTGTTCCCGTTGTGGCATCCCAAAGCCAGGCTAGCAGGAGAAGGGTCTTTCTAAAATTTTGTTTCAGGGCAAAATAAAACGTTAGCCTCTGCTCTGTATTGAACTATGTATGTCTCTCGACGCCTGCACCATTGCAATAGCTTTCTGTGTGTTCTTCTCCCTCTAAATACCTTAGGCCAATTTCGTCTGCATGCTTTAGAAAGAACAGCTTCTGCTTGCAGAGCACTAACGAAATGCTAGGCATTGCGCGAGGCAACTTATAATCATTCTGTCACCTGATCCTCACAACAGCTCTTGAGACAGCTGCTACCACTGTCCCCATTTTACAGATCAGGAGCCTGAGACTGGAGGAGGTGGTTGTTTGCTCAAGAAGAGTTAAGTGTGGGAACTAGGACTCAGATTCAGAGCTGTCTGATTGCAGAGCGTGAGCTCTTAACCACTGCGCCGTACTGCCATTTTCTCCTGTGCCAGTAGTGATACTCCTATTAATTCACAACATTGCCAAATCTTTGGGATAGTAGGCAAGTTTTAGCGTGTTATGTTCTGATGTGGAAGAGTTGATTCAAGGCAGATCTTTGATCAGAATGCTGAAACAAGCCCTTATTATTTTATTTCGTGGTTTGACAGTCGCTTCTTAATTCAGATCTGCTTTAAATCTATTCTTGGAAGGACCTTCTTTTAAATCGTGTTTAATAGATTCTAAGTGATACTCCAGTTAGATGTAAAGCTTCAAACTAGCTTAGCCCAACTGCTGTTCCATGCCAGGAAAATTGTCTGGTTTTGAGTTTTGCGTTGCATCATCTATCTGAGTGCATGCACATGCCCAGCGGCAGAAGGTTCGTGCAAATGTCCCTGACTCCTTGGGTACCTGCAAGTATGTTTTAAAAGTGACTAAATCTCAAAAAAAAAAGGGGGGGGGGATGAAATATTCCTTAAGCCAAATTTGCTGTCTTTGCTCTAACTCTCCTTCCTGACTTTTGATTTTCTGTTTTCCAATTCACCCCAACCTCAGTGCTTGAAGTGTCCTTGTTCCTTTTGCTCCTGCCCTTTCACATCAAACCAGCACTTATGCCCACCTGGTTTTTCCTCTATCGTGTAATTCATATGTGCCCATCTTTTCTGTTCCACTGCAGTCTCGCTAAATGAAAGCCCTACCATCTAGAAATGATCTATAATGGTCTTCTATCAGATTTCTTTCTCTCTGCTACCACCCTTACAAATTCTTTTCCAATCACAGATTAATTTTCCTAAAACTCTATTTTATTGTTTCACTTACTTGCATAGAAGTCTTCCATGGCTTCCCACTGCCAAGTGGATACAGTTCCAACACTTTTCCTTGGCGTTCAAGGCTTTCACATCTGGCCTCAGGTTACCTGGCCCAACTTACCTTCCACAGCTATCACACATAAACCTTCTACCCTACTAGACAGTTGCCCAAATACATCTTGTCTACTAGATTACTTCCACATTTGAATCACTCTTGGTTTGCAAAATACGGAGAGAATACTCTTTATTTCACCACAGCGAAGCTGTGACTTAGCTGAATTTTCTGATCAGCAGAATTATTTACATAGTTTGATACCTTTAAAAAATAATAAAGCTATGTGTTTTTGACTTTTGTGATCTCTTGGTTCCATATTCCACTACAAGCCAGGGATTCTGAGCCTCTGACAGCTATGCTGCTGTCTGCCTGAATTTGTAACAATTAAATATGCTGGCCTTTGGTCTTTCCTAGAAAGATCCAGTGACTCTAGATAAGCATTAGTCTCATTTAACAGAGAAACTGAAAAATCCAAGTTGGTTTATTTTTGTAGGCTAAGTTAATCAGCATACTTGCGATACCACTCTACAATCATGATGCTTAAACATAAATTGTCTTTGCTAAGCACTCAATCAAAGTGGGGTAGGGAGGTAACGGAAAGAGCACTAGACTTTGAGTCCAAAGACTTGGGGTTTGACTTAACGTTATGTGACTTTGGGCAAATTACTAAACTCTCTGAACTTCAGTTTCTTCATCTGTAAAACTGAGATCATAATACATTTCATAAGTATGTGGTGAGAATCCAAATAGATAACTTGTGAAGGTACGTGGGACATACCATCTTTCATTGATTCCCACATTCACTTGTTTCACATTTAATAGTTTTGACATGAAGATGCATGTCACACTCAATAGCATCTTGGCATTCTGTCATAGTTTAATTAATGGTGTTTTCTCTTTCTTAGTGGCACATCAAATTATGGTGTGTCTTAAAGTTACTGGTATCTTTGATTTGATGAGATATGGCGGCTGGTGCTCCCTCCCTCAGTGCTCTGCAGTGTATGCATCCTCTCTGTTCTCATTCTGCTACTAACTGCCACTCCCCTAAGACTTATACACATTGTTCATACTTAAGTCTGTTTCCATGTATCTGTTAACTATGGAAACCCATGTCAGTCCTCATTACCGTGAAGGAGTTCTATTGTAAACTTCTAGAAAGCTGAAAGTATATCTTTTTTTATTTTTTTATTTTTTGTAAATCAACTTGCATGATTATCTAAGGTTCTCTATTTAATAAAAATTCACTTATTGGTGCTCATTCCACTTTCGAGTTGACATTGAAACCTGGGATCTTAATAGTATTCTAGTGATTTTGGTAAAAGCGAGGTAAAGGACTGGGAATACCAAGGAATGGATAACTTGTGTTATTACCTAGGTTTCTTTATATCCTTGTTTTCTGCTGAAAATACTGCTGCTTACCTCCTGGTACCTGCCCTCATCTCTATGCCAAGCGGCCTCAGACAACAATGTGGAAATGCTTGCATAACCAACAGGCCCTGTTCTGGTGATGGCAAAGTTTAGTCCTCTTCCAACTGATGTAGGTTTTCCTTTAGTCCACAGCCATAAGACAGGGGGGGAAAGTGTCCCTGCACTGGTCGGGAGGACTGGGAGGATAATGAAGAAAATAAGAGTAAACAGATGCATACACATGGTACATCTTGTGTACATCATGCAGCATGCATCTTTTCCCACAGTGGGCGGTTATGGACTTTGTCTACAGGCTCGGAACCAGTTTATACCATTTGATCACTCATGTATTCCCATTTTCACTTTTCTGTGGTGACCTGACAGGTTAAAGATTTCATAAACTCAGAGCTCCTAGCACAGTTATATTCCTCAGAGGACCAAAATACCCTGATGGAGGAATCTGCTGAGCAGGCTCAGCGCCGGGATGAGATGCTTCGAATGTACCAAGCCCTTAAAGAAGCCCTGGTGATCATTGGCGACATCAACACTGCCACCACGTTCACCCCGGCACCACCTCCTGTGGATGACTCCTGGATACAGCATTCCCGCAGGTAGGAAAATGGCCCCGTGTCACCCGAGGCCTGCCAGGCTTGTCCGGTGTCATTTTATGAGTGTGCTTCCCTAAACCAATATGAACCTAAGGAATAAAGAGGAAAAAAGATATTTAAGTTCAGGAGACAGAGAGAAGGTCAGATTATCCCTTCAGAAACGAACACGATACAGCCTTACAGAGGAATGTTATACAGCCCTCAAAACGAGTAAGACGGCTCTATACTGAAATGAAAAGATAGTCAAGTTAATATGAAGCTTTAAAAAAGTAAGTTGTAGAACGTTATGTTCTAATATGTACAAAAAAAAGAATGTATATATTGTAGCGAGAATATTGTGTTGTATCCCAAGATATAGTTGAAAAGGATACACAGGAAACTACTACTGGGTAGTGAAGGGTTGGGCGGAGGGGAAATTCCTTTTCACCATTTACCCCTTTTATACCTTTTAAAAAAAAATCCATGTAAGTAACCGCTACACCCACGCCTGGAGCTCCAGCCCCCGGGCGACTCGGTCGAGCCCGCCAGGCGCCCCTCCCTTTTACACCTTCCGACGTTCCCACACGCCCCGACTTACTCCGTCAAAAGTATAGTTTTTACAGAGCAGCCCGGAGGTCATAAGATATTTTTTTGAAGGTGAGCTCGGACTGAAAGTGCTCTCGTCTGTCCTCAGGTCCCCCCCGCCAAGCCCCACCACCCAGAGGCGGCCGACGCTGAGCGCTCCCCTCACGCGGCCCGCGTCCGGCCGAGGCCCCGCGCCCGCCATCCCCTCCCCCGGCCCGCACTCGGGGGCGCCCCCGGTGCCCTTCAGGCCCGGCCCGCTCCCCCCTTTCCCAAGCAGCAGCAGCAGCGAGTGGTTCGGGGCGCCCCCGCAAGTCCCCTCCCGGCCCACGAGGGCCCCGCCCAGCGTCCCCAGGTGAGTGCTGTGCAGGCCGCGCGTGCGCGGGGGGGATGCTCTTCGGTGCTCTTCTTCTAGCCTAACAGACAGAATCTATTTGGAAAAGAAAATTGCAAAGATATTATCATACACATTTGCAATTTTCACCCAGGAGAGGGGTATCATGGGAAAACCGCGGGCCTGTGACACCATTTAAAAACCAGTATGTGGTCCAAACCTCTGCTTTATCCACTGGCACAAACTAAACGGGACCAAAGAAAACAGGGTCCAAATGAATGACATTGGGGCAGCTGTTTGTATAATTTGGGAGAGCGCTTTGAAAGGAAAGAAAGAGCCATGGCTGGGTTATTGCAAGCTGTGTGCTCCGTAGCTCATGAGAGAGCATCAGGAGCTAAGGCCTCACCTTCTCCATTACCAGAGGAATTCTGGAAAACAACTAACTTCAAGGAATAGTATCCATTTGCCCCCTGAACTATAACCCTTAAGCCCAACGTTATTAACTTTACTGTAGCCAAAGTAAAAACCGGGCTGATTAGTTTGCGATATATTTTTTAAAACTATGCGTAGACATTTTAACACAGACACGATGATTGCTGTGTGCACTCACTAACCATATATGAGATGGAACATCGCACATTTGAATAGTACATTTTGGCACATGGAAGCAGATTTTTTAGGCTTACTTGTGAAACAGTGAATAAATGAAACGTGAAACACGTACATAGTTGAAGCTATATTCTCACCTTTGTACGTTTACAGCCAAATATGTGCAATGTGTATAACTACAGATTTTTAAAAAAGAAGGAGTTGGGAGGCTTTTTCCTCAACATCAGAAATTTTAACAGGAAAGGAAATTAGCTCATACAGAAATTTAATTTTTTAAAAATATTCAGTTCAGGAGATTAAAATATTTGTATGCTTCACGAAGAAAAACCTTGCTATGCGCATACCATGAAAGGGGGGTGACTTCCTCCCCCCCACGAAGCCTGAGTCACCTCACTCTCTGATTACAGGGCTTACATTGATTTTGATCGTTGGGCTGTTGGGTGTAATGAAGAGAAGGGGCATCTTAAACTCGTAAACAAAGGGGGGACAAGTAGGACTAGCAGGGGATGTAGATTCAGAAGGCCTGGTTTGCTACAGACCTTGCACAGCTCATTGAACTCTGAGCTAGAGGTTCCCCTCTATGAAATAAGAACAGTTTCAACAAGGCTGTTGCCCCAATCGTATGTAATGAGCCTGATAAATTGTAAAGCACTGTGGCTGTCAGGGTGATCCTCACTTGGGTCCTAATCAGAAAGGATACATGTACCCTCAAACCTATATTTTCTCCCTCTAAAACTAAGGTTCACCTGTACAATTTATTTGGAACTGAGCTACATTTCTGGTAATAATAGTGAAAGCAATAGCTAATATTTATTGCGCTCTCAGTGTATGCTAGGCACCGTCCTAAGTGCTTTGCAGGTACATTTGTGTTTACTGCTCACAACAGCCCGAAAGGAGAGGTGATTATCCATTTTACAGATGAGGCACAGAGGTTCAAACAGCTCGCCCACGGCTGCTCAACCAGACCCTAACGGAGCTGGGCTTCAATCCCAAGCAGTCTGACTCCAGAGCCCAGTCTTCCAATCACAATACCAGGGTTTCTCGACCTTGCCACTCTACTGCCATGTTTATCATGGGGGGCTGGCCCTTGCATTTTAGTATGTTTCGCAGCATCCAGGCCTCGACCCACTGGATGTCAGTTGTACTGCCCCAGTTGTGACATCGCTAGTGTGTTGGGGGGGGTGGGACATGGGGTATAAAATCTCCCTCCCCTTGAGAACCACTGCCCTACAGTATTGCAGAGATTTTCCCTTCCACGTGAAAAATAAATAAATAAATAAATAAATAAATGTCAGTGTGAGCCTCACCCACTACACGCAAGATTAAATGATTGTTTTAGGAAATCTCAGACTGACTGGGAATGTATCTGCCATTGTGCCAGGAAGGTATGGAGGCCACTGGGGGAGGGCAGGAGAGGGGGCGGGCAGGAGTCCCATACAGGAGCCTCGAAGTGGGCTATTTTGTCTGTTTAGCTACAAGAAGAAACCAGAGCAACCTGGTGGTGCCTTTCCTCAGGAATGAACATGCATGTCTTTGTTTGCTCGCTTGGCTGCTTTACCTCTTGGTTTTAGATAAGCTGGCTTGCCAATACCCTTCAGAGATACCGTTGAATGCCAAATTGATTTGTTAAGTGGGATGGAGTCGCCCTTGGTATTTCCAAGCTTGCTCACAGAAGGTAGCGGGCAGGAATCAGGAATCAGTAGCTCACGCTAGAGAAGGGGAACTGCCAGGTTTAATGCATCTGTGTTGGGGAATTTATAGGACACCAGTTATGTTATTCAAAATTTCTAGAATATTCTTCACTTGGAGCCAGACCTAACACCCTGGCCTTGAAAAGAGTCTCAAATGTAAAACAGAAATGAGACTTCAGAGTAAAAGAGGAAAGTTGGTTTTTGTGCTGAGCCTTCAAGTTTCAGCGCCAGTTCAGCGCAATGGGAGGGAAATCCCTCTGGGGGTGTTGGGGGGGGGGTCACCTGAGAGAGACCAAGAGAGAAGCTGTCAGGATACTTATGCCTATTAAAGTTTAGCTTAAGATGAAGAATTCTGACCACATAAAGTCTGTTTTTAATAAAAGCCAGAGCAGGAATCCTACCAAATGCAAGCCAGAAATGGGGTTTAAGATTTCAAAAAAAAAAAAAAAAAAAAAGAAAGAAAGAAAGAAAGAGAAAAAGAAAGACAAAGATGGAAAAAGAAAGAAAAAAGTTGAGGGAAGCTCTTGTTGAAACTTCACCTTGTTCTGTTTATTTATATATTCTCTTTTCCCTCTGTGATTTGCCTCCATTTTCTCTATTAAAAACTAAAAAAAAAACAAAAACGTTGAAATGCCATTATCCATCATCTCCAGGAAAACAACCCATAGCTTTCCAAGAAGGAAGTTTGATTTTTTTTTTTCTAGCTCTTTACTTTCTTAAGGACCCTTTCTCCTCTTTTATCTGAAACCAGAAACTCATAACGTGACAAGACAGTACAAGCCGTGTCCCACCGACTCCCTGTTGGGCTTTAATATTACAAAGGCAGTAACAACTTTCAGAGGCAAAATATTCTGCCATTCGGCATGTGCCTGTACATAATTTTCTTCCGGATAATTTGCGACTCCATTAGCAAGTTAGGATTTTGATGTTTAAGAACTTGTATGCCTTTATTTTAACCCTATTCAAATGTAATGAAAGCACTTGCAATTGGACAGAAACCATGAGCGTTCTGGGTTTTATTTATTTATTTATTTATTTTTTATTATTCTGTCTTTCCATTCCAATGTAAAGGAAGAGGAAGGAGAGGGGCGGGTGGAGTCATTTTTGGCCCAGCTTTTCTCAGCTGCTCAAGCTGTTCTGGTTTCTGCGCATGGAGCCTTTCAGTGAGAGAGCTGGAAATCCTGCAAACTACATGCCTGTTCTAATTAGTTCCACCTGATCTAGGGGAGCATCTCTATCCCAGAGAGACTCACCAGTAGGGATGCTTCTGCCATTAGTAAGTTGAGTGTATGCAAATCTGATTTGTGGAACATTTTCTATTGCCAGAATCTTTGGCTTGCCCCCTGCCCTCCCACTCCACTCAACTTCTCTGAAGGGGCTAAAACCCAGTTTGAAAATCCCAGCCAGTTGTGTTCCTGTTCAGCAAGGTGATCTTAAGCAGACATGATCACCTCTTTGGGGGCCCTGTTCTTCTTACTTGAAGATCCTAATCTTCATCAAATACTAACTTTAGGGCTGATGTAGCTATTTTCGGTTACGGCTTCTTAAAATTAGTTAATTGGGAATCACAGCCTTTGACATTAACAGAACAAATTAACTGAATCAGAGTGTGTTTTTCCTGGCAACAGCTGATTCTGGCATTATTTGACTCATTTGTCTTCTCCCCTTTCCTTGGACTAAGCTATTTTGCAACGGTCAAAAGGGGATAACGGTGGGAGGAAGGGTCTCTATCCAAGGAAAAGCAAACTTCATTTACCTCATCACTCAATCCTCTATTTAAAAAAAATATTGAAAAACTGAAGTACTTTTTTTAACCAGCCTTGTCACCAAGTCTGATGGTGTCTTTTAAAAATGGCAAAACTGAATCATAGGCGAGGATTTGGCTTTCACTCCAGCCATCCACATGACAGAGACACAAGATGGAAACCAAGAAATGCTCCATTATCGCCTCTCTGGTGAGCCCCATAGCAAAGCTGACATCCCTCACTGCGTGGACAGCCCTGGGGCATCATCGAGATTATCGCAGGGTTTCCCACTTACACCCATTCCGTGGCATATTCATTTTCCCTGACGTTACATGGCACTCTTTGAGAGTCTCATCACAGTCCCACATTCTCAGTCATTTACTGCTGAACCAACCATAGCAAAAGATACAGAAATCTCTCTACATAAAGAGATAATTGGTGCACTCGTGGGCTCTTTAAGAAGGTAAAAGCCATTTGGTTCTCTTTACAATGGAATCTTGTTTTAGATGTTTGACCTTGATACACTGCTGTGTTATATCTCTTTTACATATTTTATATGTTGATCTAGTTGACAGTTAACACAGAATCCCTTTCACTGAGGGATAAGGTCTCCTTGTTTTGTTTTGTTTTGTTTTCAGCCAGTCCCCCAAATTTTGAGTAAAGACAAACCCACGATTCTTAAAAGTGTGTCTTTGCATCCCTCACATGAAGGTTTGGTGCCATGAAGGATGAAGCTGCTGAGTCTTGAAGTCATGGGTTCAGGGTACACGGACAATTAAGCGACTTTTGTGACTAGCCTGTGTGTCTGATTCTCCCGAAATCATGTCCTGGAAACATCCTGACTTACTCCCTCCTCAAGAGCCCTCTAAACGTGTGACTTCCTTTAGCAACTGAGTGTCATTTGGACATATGATGAACTCGTCTTGTGATTTCTGATTTCAGCCATGAGTTTATTTTCCTCACTGCCTTTCCTCTT